ACCAGTGATAGCTGTGGCTCGTCAGGGGAGCTTCCCAAGTGCGTCCACTTGATCCACTCCCAGACCCAGTTCTCATACATGACACTGGATTTAGGCCAGGGCCTGGCACAGTCTGTCCTTCCATTTGGCCTTGTAGGAGCTGGTGAACATTACAGCCCGGCCCACCCTACAACCTATTCAGGATGCATATTCGGGTGCTGCTGCCCTGACCCATCCAGACTATTGGGGGTTCCTTTACCTGTGATTGATGGCAGGTTCCTTGGTCACACCTAGCTTAGTCCATCACCAACCCAACTCTTGAGATAACCAGTTGGGCTAGAATTTTTGCAGGATGTGGCCCACCCATCCCTCACAGAATTTACCCCTGGTTATGGTTCTTGAGTGCTAGTTAATGTAATGGCTTGCTTATGTGACCCTTCTCCTGATCTGTCATATCAGGTAACATGATATAATTCTGCTGGACAAGCCCCGAGCTATAGCTTTTGCATGGACTGGTATTTGGTGGTCAGCATTGTTCAGTGATTACAAGTTTTACAAAGGAAGAATTACTGCCAATGGGAATCTTTACGAATGCTTCACATCTGAGAAGCACAGTGGGTTCAAACTGGAGCTAACTAAGCAGCGACTCAAAGAAACAAAACCCCAGAGCTCCCCGGTCAGGTGGCCAGCAGGCGGAGCCTGGCACAAAATGGCGCACTGGCCACCCGGGGATAGCTCACCACATGCACATGGTGGCTGTTGTCTGGGATCCAGGCATGAGATGCCCCGTCCTGAGACCCACCAGCAGCCGGGAGGCTGCTGGAAGTTTAAACTCCCAGACCCAAGAAGACCAATTCATAACTCTCTCTCTACCTTCTCTTGCAGGTGCAGCTCTGCAGGCCTCTACATGCTTCCCAGGATGGAGAACACAAACATACCTTCGGTAAGTTGTTTATTTACTTCTCAGCTTGCTTTATAATGTATTTTACGAGTTTTACGATGGTTTTTAAAGTACAGTGAAAAAACAAGCATGAGAGAAAGAAGGTAAAATTGTCATAACTTAGACATTGTTGCTGTAAAAGAAGTTTTAAACTTGTTTTCCATGTTTTCTGATGTCAAAACAAGACATGACTATGTTTGCGTGATTCAAATTGAAACAATTTGCTAATGATTGCAAAACATCAAGTTTGAAATGGTGTTTACTGATCTTATACATGACAAAAATGAAAATTATTTAATACCTAACTAAAAAGAAACACTCAAGATTTTGGAGTAGTACGAGTTTCCAAATATACAAAAATTATTATGAACTTTCCAGTTTTGCTTTATTGTAATTGCTGAAATAGTGTGATGCTTAATAGCATTTGGAGGCTGTACTGTATTCATGAGCTGCTACAGGAATGTGTGGAGAATGAAATATGCTACTTGCTTGTTTATTAAAGATTAAAGATTTAAATGAATTCTATTTATTTATTTATTTATTTTAAAGTGTGACTTACAGAAGGGGAAGGAGAGAGAGACAGAGACAGACATGTGTGCTATCTGCTGATTGATTCTCCCAGTGGTCACAGTGGTCAGTGCTGGACCATGTCAGAGAACAACCAGGAGGGCCATCTGAGTCTCCCACTCAAGTGCTTGAGCCGTCTTCCCATGTTTGCAATTCACATTGACTTAGAGCTGGATTCGAGCTAGGCAGATGGCAGCTTAGCTTGCTGCACCACAGTGCCATTTCCTATTGCATGTTGTGTTTTGCTTTGTTTAAGATTTATTCATTTGAAAAGCAGAGCTGCTTAGAAAGAGATGGAGAGACATCTCCTATCTGCTGGTTTGCTCCTCACATAACCAGAATGAGCAGAGGTGAGCAAGTCTGAAGCCATGAGTCGGGAGTATTATCCAGGTCCCAACTTGATTGCAGAAACCCAAGTGCTTGAGCCATTTGCCACTTCCTTTCCAGGCCTGTTATCAGGGAGTGGGATCTGAAGTGGAGCATGCAGGATATGAGCCACTGTCCGTATGCAATGCCACGATTTTATTGGCTAAAGCACAGGGCTGGCCCCCTGGGAAATGTAAAGTTGCAGAGAATATTTGGGAGAGTGAGAAAGATCTCTTCTATCTGTAACTTTACTCCCCACATGGCCGCATGGCAAGAGCTGTGCCAATCCAAAGCCAGGAGCCTCTTTTTGGGTCCCACATGGGTACAGGTGTGCAAGGACTGGAGCCAACCTCTCTTGCTTCCCTGGAGCAAAAACAAGAAGTTGTATTGAAAGTAGAACACTCAGGACAGGAACCGCGCACATATGGGAAGCTCAGCCCACCTTGCTTTAAAAGGAAACGGGGGCAGACCATGAAACAGTGACACGCTCCCTGCTTCTTCCAGGTGATATTCTGTACTGGCTCCAAAGTTTGTGAGGTTAACAGCATAGGCAGTCCTTTAGTGGCATTTCTAATGTTTCTTTCATGACTTTATATTTAGATCAGTAATGCCTGCTTTCAGTTTCTGTTTGTGAACGCTTTTTAATGAGATACATTGCAAGTGGTATCTCATTGTGGTTGCCTGTCTGTGTCTTTGTTCATTTTGGAATCTGTTTTTATTGCTGTTGAGTCTCCTGCAAACAGGCACCGAGACCAACGAGGGGGTGAAGCGTCAGTGTTCTTTGGCTGCAGGAACCACTGGGGAGAGGTCCAGTTGCCGTAAAGTGAGCACAACTCATATGGACTAGGAAAGGAGACAGCAGATGGTTTCTCCCAACAGCCCTCCCACCCAGCAATGACACTGTGATTGTCTATGCCTTTAGACCCTCCAATCATTTCACAGGTCAAGTTAAGAATGCACAACAAGAAACCATGCCTCAGGTCATTGGCATGTGGGCTGTTAGTTACTCCCACCAGGAAGCATTTTTGTTAGCAATCATACTTATATTGTAATATACAATTACTATTTTATTTGCAACTGATGCACAAATTAGCGATTGTCCTGTAACTCTACTATGCATTGATCTTTTTTTTTAAAGATTTAATTTTATTATTTTTTTATTGGAAAGGCAGATATACATACAGAAGAGACAGAAAGGAAGATCTTCCGTCCGATGATTCACTCCCCAAGTGAGCACAACGGCTAATGCTATGCTGATCTGAAGCCAGGAGCCTCTTCCGGGTCTCCCACGCGGGTGCAGGGTCCCAAAGCTTTGTGCCGTCCTCGACTGCTGTCCCGGGCCACAGGCAGGGAGCTGGAAGTGAAGTGGGGCTGCCGGGATAGAACCGGCACGCACATGGGATCCCGGGCGTGCAAGGCGAGGACCTTAACCACTGTGCCACCGCGCCGGGCCCTATGCATTGATCTTAATAAAATTTTCAATGTTCCAACTATGTTTAATGTTGGCGAAGCAATTCCTAAAACCATCCCACACTGAATTTGCTGTAATGTGTGAATAAGAGTGAAATTTTGATGACAACAAATTGACTTATAATGCCATTGTTAAGATACAGTTTGTTAAATTTATTTTCATATTTGTTTTGATTGGAAAGTCAGATTTACAGAGAAGGAGAGAGAGGAAGGTCGTGTATGCACTGAATCACTCCTGAAGTGGCCACCATAATCGGAGCTGTCAAAGCTGAGCCAATTTGAAGCCAGGAGCTTCTTCTAGGTCTGCCATGCAGGTGCAGGGTCCCAAGGTGTTTGACCACACTCTGTTGCTTTCCCAGGCAACAAACAATGAGCTGGAAGGGAAGTGAACAGCTACGATACGAACTAGTGCCCATATGGGATCCCACTAAAGCCAGGAGCGTCTTCTGGGCCTCTTTTAGGTACTATTCTACTACCCAAATAGCTCAGCACTAAATTTATTTTTTGAAATGATTTCTAGCTTAATCCCATGTGACCAGAGAAAGTACCTGCAGACTTAAATATTTTGGCTTTTAGACCTTGTAGACTTCATGTGTCTTAAATTTTTTAAGGATTGTACAGGAAGAAGAAATAGAAAATTTGGAAACAAAGATCACACCCAGTTTCCCCTAAACCTTGAACCTTCACACACTGATCATCTATGTAAATATCATCAAAAATAAAAGTACAAAACGCATATAAAAAGATTTATTTTTCAATTGGAAAGGCAATTATACAGAGAGAAGAAGATACAGAAAGAAAAATTCTCCATATGCTGGTTCGCTCCCAGTGTAGCTGCAATGACTGGAGGTGAGCCGATCAGAAGCCAGGAGCTTCTTCTGGGTTTTTCACATGGGTGCAGCATTCCAAGGCTTTGGACTGTCCTCACTCTCCCAGGCTACAGGCAGGGAGTTGAGTAGGAAGTGGATTAGCTGAGACGTGAACTGGTGCCTGTATGGGATCACAGTGCATGCAAAATGAGGACTTTCTCCCCTAGGCTAGTGCACCAGGCCCACTTCTCCAACTTCTCTGTCTGTGATTTTCAAGTAAAGAAATCTGTCAAAAACAGAAAGACAGAAAATCCCCAAATCTAAAGAAAGTTCTTAATTCATCAGGAAATATTAATTTTTTTTCTAGAGGGATTGTAGTTGTCACATGAGCTTCTTGGATTATTGAGCTTATAGAATTTTCTAGATTTAGGAAGCATTTGGTTTTCACAGTCTTAAATTTCTACCGAAGTCTGCAGTTACACATATTTCAACTACTTAACTATCATCGCACGTGTCACTCAATCTCCAGTGCTTTCATCAGAGTGTGTCATATTAATGGAGTCCTTTCCAAAAACCACAGTTTTGCACTCTCAGCCAGATGAAATGAAATCTCATCCTAGTGTTCACCCCTTTGGGTCTTTAAGATTCTACAGTGCACTTAAAAATTCATCAAATATCATGACACAAAAAGTTTCATGTGTTGTTCAAATTGGCAATTTTCTCTTTCAATCTCCATGTGATCATCCCAACATAAAAATACCCAGTTTGGTAAAGCAGTGATCAAAGGACCTCAGTAGTAGGTTCTCTGAAAGTAGCCATTAGGGAAATGTAAAGCAAATTCACAATGAAATATCTCAACCCTGTCAGAATGGCTATAAATATTTGGTAGAAAGGGTAACAAATGCTGGTGATGATGCAAGAAATGTTAACTTCTATAAAGTGTTGGTGGGATTATAAATTAATTCAGTCACTGTGGGAGATAGTATAAAATTTCTTAAATGATTAGAAAGAAGCTTGCTCTATGATTGAGTAATCTAACTACTAGTATGTACTGAAAGTTATGAACACATTGTATGAAAGAGATACCTGTAACCATCTTGTGCATGATTGAAACATATCTTTTCATTTCATGATATTTATAGACCTTACCTATTAAACTCTGGTCATTTGATTACTTTCCTTTTAATCACTTAATGAAAAATTAAGGTCTTGAGTACAATGTCAATTTAAAACATGCCCTTTCAAATGTTTAAGAACACAACAGGGGACCCGGCATGGTGGCCTAGCAGTTAAAGTCCTTGCCTTAAATACTCTGGGATCCCGTATGCTTGCCGGTTCTAGGCCCGACAGCTCCACTTCCCATCCAGCTCCCTGCTGTGGCCTGGGAAAGCAGTCAAGGACGGCCCAAAGCCTTGGGGCCCTGCACCCGTATTGGAGACCTGGTAGAGCTCCGGGCTCCCAGCTTTGGATTGGCACAGCAGCAGCCATTGCGGTCAATTAGGGAGTGAATCATCAGATGGAAGATCTTCCTCTCTGTCTCTCCTCCTCTCTGTCTCTCCTCCTCTCTGTATATCTGATTTTGCTTAAAGATTAATCTAAGAAAAAAAAAAAGAAGAATGTAACAGGAAACAAAGGGAAAATATAAAAGAGGAATCATTGTGTTGCTAAATTGTACATATCAGCTACATTAATTCCATTTTTATATAAAAATCAGTAAATAAGTAACTAAAAAAAAAAGACAAAACAGATAGTCGTTAATGTTAAAGGGCTTCTAAAACAAATTTTAAAAAATAGGCCTGTTACAATGTAGCATTTGCCTTATCTGCATATTTTCTATTCAGCTGGAAGGCTGTGACTGTGTGATATTAGCTGCTTGTTATAAGAAGGTAGTTCTGTGAGAGGCTGAAGTTTGTTTCCCTACTAAGCTGCAGTGCCCTATGTAGTAATTCAGATTTTTCATTTAAATGTTATTCCATAAAAAGTAAAACAGAAAGTAGAAAGGATTTTAGCATGTACCTACACATAAGTGAAAAAAGGTTATGGGATATATATATATATATATATACAATATTTCCTTATTTTGTGTTGGAATAAATGAAGTTTATTATTGCTTCATGTGATTTTTATATATCTCAATATTTATAAATTATTCAAAAATTTCCTCATTGTTCTGTGCATTATTAAACATGTGTCTTCCTTATCTGCCATGTTATTTTTTTTTCTTTTTTTTTTTTTTGTGGGTAAGACTATTACTTTTTCCATATTGTTTCCTTCATGTTTAAAAGGGGGGTATAAAGGGAGAAGGCCCACCCAATTTCCCACCCTCCCCAGGTCCCGAATGTAGGGTATGCTCTGAGGTTCTTTCCCAAGTGGATTTGATATTTCAACAGTTATGAATCGTTGCCAATCTTGCCACTCCAAGCACTATGAGGTTCTTGAAGAATCCTCTGATTGACATAGTCCATAGCAGAGATGGTTGGTTGACTTGTTCTGTCTTCTCTCTTTTCTTGGTTAGGGTTCTGAGTCCAGCATTTTGATTGGGGAAATCTCCAAAGAAACTGTCTGAGGTGTGCTCAAACCAGATTCTTGTATGTGCTAGCAAGTACTGGGCCCGGCAGTCCATCATTCCTTGTTCAGCTGGTGGTTGCAATCGCTGGGTTGGTTCTGTTTTCTCCCCGACTTCCACTGGAACCAATGGGTGTTGCAATCCAGCCTGGTGCTGCCCAGCATATACTTGACCCTCACATAAACCAGTGGGAGCTGCAGCCTAGTTGGAGCAACCCACAATAACCCCCACCAAACACGCCCCCAACCCTGGTTTGCCAGTATGTGTAGCAGTAATTCAGTCTGTCCCACACCCCATTCTACCCTAGCCACCCTCCTAGTTTTATGCCCTCCCATGGAAGTGGTAACCCAAGAGGGAGGAGCCCACTATTTCCCTCCCAAGCCTCTCCCAGTCCCAGATTATGCACTCTCCAGATAGTTCTGTGGTTTGACTTGACAGAACTAGCTTCCAGTGCCAGCTTCTGCCAGCTGATGCTGTGGCTAAGCCCAAACAACCCTCACCCACTCTAATTTTGTTTGTACCAGTAGGAATAATCAGCCCAGCACGGCTTTTCCCTGATCTACTCCACATGAGGCACAGGAGTTATAGACCTGCCTAGTCTGGTCTGCTTCCATCCCAGCCCACGCAGTCCAGCGGGAGTAGCTGTCCATCAAAGGAACCCTCCCTTATTCCCCTGCTGGCTCTGCCTGTTCCTTTCCTTTTTCTCACACTTACTGGTTGGGCACTGTGGTCTCTTCCGGTACAGGCAACCTCACCTTGGCATTCCATATTGTGTACTAGTCTTTGTTGCAACTGAACCTGGCTAAACCCACACTGTTCTGGTGTTTGGATTTGCCAGTGGATGACGTGGACAAATTCAGCCTGGTCTTCCCCTGACCGCTGCCAATTGTATGCCACTGGGTAACCTTCCATGGCCTGTTCTGAGCTGTTTCCTATCATGTTTCTTGTGCTTACCTGCCTGGTCTGTGCCCTGCCAGACGAGTTGCCCAGGCTCCTCCATCAGAACCTCTCCCAATGCCAGGTTTCACGCTTACCAGTGGGTCCATGAGCCAGCCCTATTCAGTCCACCTCCTGTCCTAGCAGGAACAGTGGCTTTTCCTGACTGGCCCTCAACCAAAACTAGTCCTTGCTGTTGGATGTTTCAACCCAGCCATGGTTTGTCCATACCCACCTATGGCTCAGACATGGCTCAGTAGGGGTTTGAGACCTTGCCTAGTCCATTGCACATCTACCCTGGTCCTCCAGGACACCAGAGGGTGTTGGAGTCTGGCCTGGTTCAGTGCATCCAATCCCAGTCCACACTTGTGCCAAGGGAGACTACAACCATTTCCAGATCAGAACGTAGCCCCCATTCCAGGTCACACACCCCTTGGTGAGAACCACAACCCAGCTAGGGTTGTCTCCTTAGCTCCCCAACCGGGCCTGTTCCCAGCCATAGATCACATGCATGCCAGTGTGCTCTGACTTAGCTTGGCACAGCCCCTCACCTGTCCTGACCTCTGCCTTAGACTCATGTGCTTATGTATGTCTACAGATTACAGAGGGAAATCATTTTATAATTATTACAGAAAGCCAACCTGATATAAAATAATAAGAGAATTAACGCTTCAGATTTGCAAAAATAATACAGGACATGCTATTTATTTTGTTTTTACTCTACGTTGCTGTACAGACTATAAATTAAGCTATGTCCGTAGAAGATGCAAATCAGACACACAGAATTACACTCAGCTTACTAATATGGTTCCTGTGTTAGTATTTTGGCTCAGGGTTAATATGATTATTTATTTTAATTTAGTTGAGCAGAGTGGCAGTAACAGAGAGAAGCTGAGAGTGATGTCTTTACCTGAAGGTGTATTCTATTTTTCTCATATATATATATTTTTCATTTTGAATTTTATGGTACAATTATGTAGGGTCTGGGATTCCCTCCCTAAATTCCCACCTCCCGTTGGAAGCACAGTGTAGTACAACCACTATGGAAATCAGTATGGAGAGTACTTAGAGAATTGCCAATTAACCCCCCATGTGACCATATGACCCAGCTATCCTACTTCCAGGAATACACCCAAAAAAGTGAAAACTGCTTATGAGAAGGGGATCTGTAATCCTATATTTGTTGCAGTACAGTCTATAATAGCAAAGGCATGGAAACAATCCAGATGCCCATCCAGAGAAGAGTGGGTGAAGGTGTATTCTAACAATGCCTTCAAGAATTTAATAGAATCAGAATGTTTAAAGAAAACAGTATTTAAGAGAATAAGGAATATTCTGTTGAAGTATTAGAATTGTGAAAGTAATGCAAGACAAGAATGCTCATTTGGTTGTTGTGCTATGATTCTGTATTAATTGTAATTTAAGCTGTACTTGTAAGTATTGCAAATTAAGTATACATACAAAGCGCTGTCAGTATTTCTATTTGGTGATCCAGAACTGAGGAGACATGTGCTGTTACAGGTGTTGGTGTCATTTGAAGATGTGGCTGTGGACTTTACCCAAGAAGAATGGCAGATTATGGACAATACTCAGCGGGCCCTGTACAGAGAGGTGATGCTTGAGACCTATAGCAACCTGCTGTCTGTGGGTGAGTGAGATTCTGTCTTTCCCAAGCAGGATACTTCTGTATAGAGGACAAAGGAAAGAAGAGTGTATAAAATTTGGCAGTTGGTAGGACTGGTAGTGATTTTGCAGTGTTTACATTTTGTTCCATGAACAGGGTACTACATGACAAAGCCTAATGTCATCTTCAAGTTTGAGCAAGAATCAGCACCATGGACAGTGGGAAAAGCTCTCAACCAGGGCCTTTCAGGTAGGTCAGCACACAGTGGGCGGCAGGGAAGCTGATGCATAGCTCAGTAAAAGTTGACTGGCATTCTCTCTGTTTTTTTTTTTTTTTTTAAGTTTCTTTCAAAGGGACAGCTGATGAGACACAGCATTCTGCAGTCTGCATATTTAGGTTTATTCTAGCAGTGCCTTTTAAACTTTGGGAACCTATAAACATAAATCTAGAACTATGTTTTGTTCCTTTGAATGATGCCTAGCACTTAAATCATCATCTGCCATCTCCCAAGATATATTTTCAGGAAGTTGCATTTGAAGCAGAATAGCCAAGACAAGACTAATTGGCGTTGCTATGGGCTGTAAGATAGCCTAAGCCTTATTTTGGATTTCTGTGCCACATTTTCTGTTCTGTCCTGATAAAATTGGCACAATTCCAAGTAATTCAACTTTGTACTTAAAAAAGTTATTATATGAATGTCATAATAAAAAAGACATAATGCTTATAAATAATGCTCAAAAAATCCACATTTTACCAATGATAAAATCTGCTGTATAGAGAATGGCAACAAACCTCGTTGGCTTTACTTAAGCATTGGAAAAGAAATACTTAGGTGTGATTCATGGATAGATTTACTCTTTTCATCATTTCAGATCCCTACAGAAAGAATGAGCTGCTTGGCGCTAATCAGAAAAGACAAGAAATTATCTTCAGGCAAGTTGCAATCACAAAAATTAAATAATAACTCCAAAGAAAGTGGCATCACCACAGATGCTTGGTATTAGTTCTGGCCACAATTGAAACATGCACAGAAAGGAAAATTGTGCATAAAAGAAACGAGAAGTATTATTTCATTCTATTTGTATTTGAAGACAGGAGCTTTATTTGCAAAGTGACCAACTGAATGTGAAAACCAGAGGGAATCGAATGGCATTTCTTGGGAGAGAGTCAGCAGATGGTGTGGCTCTTGAATGGAGAAAGGGAAATGCCAAAGTGTCTTAGGTTTTAAAGTGTCCCCTGACCCTTGTCTAGGCGGGAATCTGTTAGTAAGACATTTCCCATTCATAGTCATTCAACTACCCAGGAAATAGCTCCTACTACACATCTCAAAATGTAACCTTGCCATTCTATAGCTGTTTGTGCCTCAGAGATAGAATGCCACATGAGTTATCAAATTGAGAAAAGAAACAAAATAAGGAAACTGTTCTTTTCTCAATTCATCTAGGAAGTGTAGAGTGTGTGACCCAAAGACCCAAATAGGTCATTTCAAAAGATTACACCCAAGGGCATGGCATGGTAGCCTAATTGTTAACTTCACACCTTGCAATTGCTGGGATCCCCTGTCCGCATTGGTTCTCATTCTGGCAGCCCTACTTAACATCAAGCTTACTGCTTGTGGCCTGGGAAAACAGTCTCACATTTTCTGTTCTGTCCTGTTAAAACCTTTCAACCCGGATTCTTCATGGGAGACCCAGAAGAAGATAGTTGGTGATTAGAGCCTTTTAAGTCCTTAGTTGCTATATTTTCTATCTGAACCCACCTACAAGAATACTCCATCTGAAGTTTTAGCCAAAGCTAGGCAGTGGTGATGCTTATGTGGGTGAGTGGGTGGTGTACTCTATATGTTTCTGCAGAGCTATGGGGTGGCAAGGATCATTTTTATAAGTTCAGTCCCACTTGGTAGAAGGCTTACCATCCTTGTGCAGTCTTCTCTCTGCATAGTCAAGCCACATAGCTCTGGTCTAAGAGCCAGAAGTCTTTGCAAAGTGTCTTACTGTTAGTGAGACATTGTTGTACATCCCAGCAGATGTTACCAGGAACACTCACTGTTTTTTTTTTCCAGAGCTTATAGAAACACAAACTGGAAATCAGTTGTAGACAGAAGTTTTATATGCTAAATGAACAGGTGAACTTGGAAGAGGGAAGGGGGAAAGCACATCTGATGAGGGAGGTTGTGGGGAGCCAGGTGCCAAAGCCACTCCCAGGAATAGGAAAGGCCGTCGCAGGATGGCAGCTGGTCCAGGGCGAGGAGGCAGGGTTTGTCTCACCAGCAGGTAAACAGGAAGTCACAGGAATAGACTGATGCCCTCACTGCAGTTATGTCATTGCTGCTGGCTTTCAGGTAGTACCAAGTGAATCCACGGGGAGAAGTGATTGGCGGAGAGTGGTATAAAAGCAGCTGCTAAAAGCAATAACATGAACCACAGAGAAAGACACGGCAAAGAATGACGAATGCAACGTGAGGAATAGGGCAGTAGACAGGGTTGGAAAAGCTAAGGCATAAGGGGAGGAAAAAAAAGCAGAGAGGGGTTACAAAATCAGTAAGACCTATGGAGAGAAAAGTATAGGGACAAGAACGAGAAAAGCAGTAGAGAGGGGTGCAAGAGCAGGACAAAAGCTGTAGGACCTATGGAGAGAAAAGTACAGAGACAAGAATGGGGAAAAGCAGCAGAGAGATGGCTAAAAAAGCGGCAGAGAAAAGCTAAGACCTTTGGGGGAAAAGGCAGCAAAGAGAAGGGTATAATGCAGCCACCTTTGGCAAGAAGGGCTCCAGTTGCGGTTCCAGCTTTTTGCAAGACCCTCAAGAGTGTGCCTCATAGATAATGTCACTGCTGGGCCGCGGCAGGAGCTCAGACATGAGGTGCCTCTTGAATGGAGGTAGAGATACCAGAATTTATTTCTTCTTCTTCTTTTTTTTTTTCCTATAGGAAACATGAAGAAATGCCATTGGGGGAAAACTCTGCTTCTAATGTCCCTGAGAACAGCCTCCAGAGTGGGGAAAGTCTCACTCAGCAGGACAAGATGCACATTTGTCAGCAGTCTTTTGAACATAATGGGAAAGACAAAGCTTTCAGCGGAAAGAAAATATCCCCTATATGTGAGCAAGTTTATACTAAAGTGCTGTGCAGTAAGCAACCTCTCATTGTGGGAGACACAATTCAGGTTGAAAAAAAAATGCTACACAACAATTCTTCTTTTGGCAAACATCAGGAAGCACAATCAAGAGAGAAACTCCATGAGCATTTCAAGAGTGAGAAATTTCTTATGTGTAAAACGGATGTCAAAGTAAATCACTATGTGTGTGGCTACTGTATGAAATCTTTTAGCAGTAAATCTTGCCTTACCACCACACAGAGCACTGACAGAGGTGAAGATTTCTATGTGTGCAATGAATGCAAAGAGAATATTTACCAGAAGTCAGAACTCAGAAGTGATCAGATCCTTCACACTGGAGAAAAGGCATATGAGTGCAATAAGCTTGAGGAAGCCTGTGATGACCAATTATCTTTCAAGAGACATCAGAAAATTCACACAGCGGGGAAACTGATGTACAGAAAACCCTTCAATAGCCATTTTGGTCTCTTGAATCATCAGAGATTCCACAGTGGGGAAAAACCTTATGAATGTTGCCAATGTGGTAAAGCTTTTTCTTGTAAATCACACCTCATCAGGCATCAGAGAATCCACACAGGGGAAAAACTATATGAATGTACCCAGTGTGGAAAAGCTTTTTCTCAGAAGGCACAACTAATCAGGCATCAGAGAATTCACACAGGGGGAAAACTTTATAAATGTAGCGAGTGCGTAAAAGCCTTTACCAGCCACTCAAACCTCATTAGACATGAGAGAATCCACACAGGGGAAAAACCTTATGAATGTAACCAGTGCGTAAAAGCCTTTACCAGCCACTCAAACCTCATTAGACATGAGAGAATCCACACAGGGGAAAAACCTTATGAATGTAACCAGTGTGGAAAAGCCTATACCAGACACTCATATCTCATTGCACATGAGAGAATCCACACAGGGGAAAAATCTTATGAATGTACTGAGTGTGAAAAAGCCTTTGTCAGCCATTCATATCTCATTCAGCATCAGAGCATCCACACAGGTGTAAAACTTTATGAATGTAGCCAGTGTAAAAATGCCTTTACCTACCACTCAGATCTAATTAGACATCAGAGAATCCACACTGGAGCAAAACCTCATGAATGTAGTCAGTGTGGAAAAGCCTTTACACAACATTCAAGTCTCATTACACATCAAAGAATCCACACAGGGGAAAAACCTTATGAATGTAGCCAGTGTGGTAAAGCCTTTAGAGACAACTCAACTTTCATTAGACATCGGAGAATCCACACTGGGGAAAAACCTTATGAATGTAGTCAGTGTGGAAAAGCCTTTACACAACATTCAAGTCTCATTACACATCAAAGAATCCACATAGGGGAAAAACCTTATGAATGTAGCCAGTGCGGAAAAGCCTTTAGAGACAACTCAACTTTCATTAGACATCAGGAAATGCACACTGGGGAAAAACCAAGAAAAAAACTTTCTCTGCCAAGTCATATTTAATCATACATCAGAGAATCCACACTGGGGTAAAACTTTACAAATGCAGCTGCTTTGGAAATTTCGTTACCTACAACTCAGGTCCCATTACACATCAGAGAATCCACATAGGGGAAATGTTATGAATGTAGTGAGTGTGGAAGATGCTTTTGCAGTCAAGTCTCTGCACATCAGAATTCACGTGGGAAAAACATGAATGTAGACTATGCAGAAGCCTCTTAGAAGCTGCCAATTTTCATTAGACTCCGATAATACACACAGGGCAAAAACGTTATTAATATAGTGTTTGGGAAACCTTTTAGTGTGTTAAAGAATCCATATACGGTAAAGCCTTAAAATGTGGTGAGTGTGGAAAAGCCTTTAACTCAAGCCAGGTCTTGTTTTACATCAGCAAATTCACAAAGATGAAACATAGTAAATATGGAAAATCATACACAGTATAAATTTATGGACAAGTGTGAAAAGATTCATACACAAACACATTTTGAGTGTAGTAGAAAGGATCAGCATATGAATAATAACATATACACAGAAAATATATAATATAACTTCATTTACTAAAAATTCACTTTTCTAATGTCAATCTTCAGCAAAACCATGAAGCTCAGAAACACAGAAGTATGCAAACAGAAACTAGCTACCATGAACCTTCCGTCACGGTTTATTGAAGCTTAGTGAGTGAATGAAACAAGCATTAGGAAGATTGCATATAGACACCACTCTAAAAATGCAAGGCATGTGAAAAAACATTTTGAAACTCTCAGCAAGTATTAAATGATAAACATGAGTTTTTCAGAACATGGGCTACGTGTTGGTAAAAGAATCCATATGTGATTTGTTCATAATCTTTTGTTGTGAGGGGAAAATGTAAATGAGTTCTGCTTGTAGATTTCAAGAAATGTTCATTACATAACACTTGTTTGATAATGCCATGATTATCATTTACATTTATCTACTGTAGCATATTTAGAATTCAACGTTCCATATTCTACTGAAGACTAGTATTGGAATCACAGATAGTGATTCATGTGACAATTGATATGCTAAAGATTCAGCTGTGAAAGATGAATCTTGTCCAAAGTGAACATTCATCAAATATTGATCCCATTTAGCCACTGTTTTCTTTAATTCTCTAGTGTAGGAGATCACCCGTGGATCTCTACCTGCTTAATTTACATGGGAAGCCATAGGCATACCGTGCCCAGGAGAATCCCCTAACAATTGTCTTGGCGAATTGAGACTCCAGTCTGGCCTGTTCAGTGGTCATGCAGTTAGAGTGGTAGGCTGCACCACAATCTCTGTCTTTGGAGAAGCTGTGCTTCAACTTCCCTGCCAAGCAACTCTGAGGAGTTAAATGCAACCCCACATTCTGTTTACCAGTCATATATAGTGAACATGCCCCAAGGCATAACTTTCAGCCCAGATGGTAGCTTATCTTGACCTAATTGCCTATGGACAAAAACACGGCTTCCAACCTTGGCTGTCCATTGTGACCTGTGGCTTGATTCGATGGTCTACAGAGACATGCCTGCTAGCAAGTTACAATGGCATTGCTTGTGGGAAGTGCTATTGAGACCACTGTTCTCCCTCACCCCTTTTCTACTCTATAAAGGCTTGTGAGGTCTTCCCAGTAAAATCATCTTTCAACCACTTTGTCTCCATCCTGACTTCCATAGTAGCCGTACCATCCTGCATTCCCTGCAGCAATGGAGTAGGGTTCCTTTTCCCCCCACATCTTCAATGTGAGCCATTCTCACTGGAGTTATGTGGAACTTCAGTGTTGTTTGTATTTGAATTTCTCTTATTGTTGGGGACCCTGAGAATTCTTTCATACGCCTTTTAACGATTTTTGATTTATTCCTTTCAAAAGTATCTGGCCATTTAATTTGCCCATGTGTTGACTGGTTTGTTTCGTTGTATGGTTTCTCTGAATTCTTGGTATATTCTCGATATTAGCCCCCTAATTCCTTTATAGTGTGCAAATATTTTCTTCCATGCTTTTGGTTGCCTTTTTACTTTGTTAATTGTTTCCTTTTCAGTGCAGAAGCTTCTTAGCTTAATGTAGTCCCATTTGTAATGTAGGTCGTGATTTCCTTTACTTTGATACTTTTTCTAGGAATTCTGTGCCTGCACCTCTATGTTGTAGAGTATTTCCAAAGTTTTCTTCCAAATGTTGGATGGTTTCTGGATGTAGGTTTAGATCCTTTATAAATTTATATTAGATCTTTGTGTATGATGAAAGGTGTGGATTTGTTTCTTATTTCTGCAGGTTGCTGTCCAACTGTATCAATAACATTTATTGAAGAGATTTTCTTTGCCCCTAGGTTATTTTCTGTCCTCTTTCTGTGCCAGTACCAGGTTGTTTTGATTACTACCTCCCTATAATATATGCGGACATCTGGGATTATAATCCCTCCAGCTAAATTCTTATTGTACAGAATAGTTCTTGCTATTCATGGTCTTTCATGTTTCCAGGTGAACCTTTGTATCATTTTTTAAAGCTCTGTGAAGAATGTTCTTGGATTTTAATTGAAAATGCATTATACATATTGCTTTTGGGAATATGGACATTTTGATGATATTGACATTTTGATGACATTGCTCCTCAGTTGCGCTGGTGCCTGGGTTTCACATCATGACAGTGCCATGCGGGACCGCACCTGGAGGCTCCTCAGTGGCACAGTGCCGGTGATGTGTGTTTAATCAGGGGCTGCACAGGACTGCACCTGGAGGCTCCACAGTGGAACTGGCGCCTGAGGACTCCATTAGCAGATCGTGCCTAGAAACTCCTTGGTGACACTGGTGTAGGCAACATGTGGGCATCCAGGGCCCTGGTAATCACAGATGCTTGGCAGAGCATGTGTTGAAATGGCAGTGGTGCTAGCATCAGCAGCGTGCAGGCGCCCAGGGCCCAAGTGAGCAAAGGGGCTGGGTAGATTGCACCTGGAACTATCACGACGGTGTGGGCACCAGGGAAAGGAATCCCCGGATGAGGTTGTAAAAGACAGTGAAGGAGACCGGAGGCCTTAATGGGCTATGGTTCCAACGCCTATAGCTAGAGCGCCTTGCGGCCTGACTCGTACTCCCTCACAGGCCTGAGGTGCCCTGAGGGTCTCCCAAATCTGCCCAGATCAGAGACATGGAGTCGCAAAGCTACAAATTGCTCTACTGTGCCCCACCCATGAGACGCACATGGGACGATGCCATAGCCAACAGACTGTTGGGAAACCCAGGTACAGAGGAGTATATACATTCAGTGGTAAAGAAAGCTACCCAATCTTTCACCACCCCCAGAGATCCCCAATAGAACTCAGAGAAATTCTCTTCCATATGCCAAATAGCTGTAGCAGAACCACACCTACTCCAGACTACTGCACTGAGACCAGAAACTGTGGATAAACAAATCAAATAGCAAATTCCCCAAATCAACAAGAAATAATAACACAGTGGGTAGAGGTATCAGGAAAAGTAATGATTCAGACGAGAGAGCCAGCACTCTCCCAAAAAACAACCAAAAACCAATACCTATTACGGAGTTGTGAGATGAAGACATCGAAGTTCTACCAGACAAGGGATTTTTAAAAACAATGATAACATTTGTCAGAGATAGTAAGAACCACTGGGAAGACTTCAAGGAATTCAGGAACCACATAGTCACGGAAATACAATTCAGAAGCGAAATCCTTGACTTAAAGCACAAAGTTGAGAGTCTAATCAACAGAATAAATACAGCAGAAGACAAGATTTCTGAAACTGAATACACTCAGAATGAAGGTGCCTAGCTCATTAAACAGCTGGAGAAAGTCTGAACAAAGCTTACAAAACCATACGGGAAATGAAAGATAACCTCAGAAAATCAAATATCAGGATTATAGGCCTTCCCAAAGGAGTGGGAAAAGGAGTCAGGAATGCAAATGATGCCCTAGGAAATTTTACAGAAAAACGTCCAAAACACTTGGAACATGAACCCAGCCTAAATCCAGGAAGGACAGAGAACTCCCAACAGATATGATCTGGAGAGACACTCATGCAGGCATGTGATACTCAAGCTCCACTCCAATGAATACAAAAAAAAAAAAAAAATCCTGAGACAAGTACAAAGCAGAGAAAAGATGACATGTAGGAGAAAACCAATCAGATTCACTGCTGACTTCTCAGAAGAAACCCTCTAATCAAGGAGAGAATGGACTAAGAGCTTCTAAATCCTGAAACAAAACAAATTTCAACCAAGAATAATGTACCCAGCAAAGAACTTATTTGTATTTGAGAACAAAATCAGATACTTCCATAGCAAACAGAAACTAGAAGAACATGCCAACACAAAACCAGCTCTACAAAATCACCTTATAAATGTGCTAAACAGAAAAAAGGGAGCAAACCATAAGTGAAGATGGCAAATAGGAAGCTCTCTCCACTAAAGTCTACACAAGGAAAAGCAATTACAGAAATACCAACACCCACAAAAACACACATGCATGGCAGGGCAAAATCGCAATCTCTCAACTCTTAACACAAATGGCTTAAAATCATCAATCAAAAGACATAGATTAACAGAATGTATCATCAAACAAAACACAATTATCTGTTGCCTACAAGAGACACATATAACCAGAAAAGACGCTAAAAAGCTGAAAGTGAAGGGATGGAAAAAGATATTTTATGCCACTGAAAGGCTTCCCACTGAGATCGGGAACAAGACAAGGATATTTGCTATCACCGCTGCTATTCAACATAGTCCTAGAGGTACTCGCAGAGGCCATAAGACAAGACAAAGAAATCAAAGGAATTCAAATGGGAAATGAAGAAGTCAAGCTCTCACTATTCGCAGAGGACATGATCCATTACATAGAAGAACGAAGAAACTCAATACAGAGACTGCTAGAACTTGTACGAGAGTTTGGTAGAGTGGCAGGGTACCAAATAAATGAACGAAAGTCAACAGCGATAGTGTATGCAAACAGACCCAAGATGGAAAAAGATCTATCTAGCAAGGTGCCATTCAAAATAACAGAGAAAAGTATGAAGTATCTAGGAATAAACATAACCAAAAATGTAGGAGACCTTTTTGAAGAAACTACAAAACACTTAAAAAAGAAACTGAGGGCCCGGTGCGGTGGCGCAAGTGGTTAAGTCCTAGCCTTGCACGCCCAGGATCCCATATGGGTGCCGGTTCTAATCCCGGCAGCCCCGCTTCCCTTCCAGCTCCCTGCCTGTAGCCCAGGAAAGCAGTGGAGGACGGCCCAAGGCTTTGGGACCCTGCACCCATGTGGGAGACACGGAAGAGGCTCCTGGCTTCGGATCGGCATAGCATCAGCCGTTGTGCTCACTTGGGGAGTGAATCATCGGACGGAAGATCTTCCTCTCTGTCTCTCCTCTCTGTATATCCGCCTTTCCAATAAAAAAATAATAAAAATAAATCTTTAAAAAAAAAAGAAAAAAAGAAACTGAGGAAAACCTCAAAAGATGGAGAAATATACCATGCTCCTGGGTATTAAATCAATATCATTAAAATGTCCATACTGCCAAAAGCAATATATACATTAAACACAATCCCAATCAG